GCATCCAGCTGATATAGACCTGTGTCATTTACCTGTGTTTTGTTTTTAGAAAATTATAAATTATTACCTCATTATCCAATCAAGTGTCAAGTTTTTCCTTCTCCATCTTGCAGCCCCTGTGCTGCATTGTACCTCCTGATGCTGAGGAATGTTGAACACATTCATGTTTGGAAAAATGATACAGGAAAACATCTTTTGACTTTTTAAGTCAGTTACATACCATATCTTAGATGTTACAGTGCCATTTTGTGTATCTTAAGGTCCAGTGTGTAGGATTTAGAGGCATCTAATGTCAGAAATGGTCGATAATATAATATAATATTCATAATTAGGTTTTGATTAGTTTATAATCACCTGAAAATAAGAACTGTGTTTTTATTACCTAAGAATGAGCCATTTTTAGGTAGGCCTACCTAACAAGCAGGTCCCAGGCCTCCAGAAAGTGCGCTTGACTTTGAAGCCTATTTGACATAGTGGACTAACTGTTTAACTACAACCTCTGGAAGCGTCATGTGATGCCATCGGGCTCAAGAACACTTTTCTGCTTAGACTAACACTGGGAAAGAGACGTCTGTAAATCTGTGGATAAATCTTTCTGAGCATCACTACCCTCGCAAAATGACTTGTTCCATTGGTCCAATAACATTTTGAAAGTCTGTAATAGGCTACCTACAAGATAAAATTATTTTATTTCCATTCAAGTTACCGGAAGGCTACAAGGGAAGTTAGCCACATTGCTGGCGAAGTCTCTAATGCGCATGCTCCATGATGCAGAAGATCTGGGTAATTTTATTACCAGGAAGTCTAATTTTTTGGCTGCATGCGCTACTGAGGAACTGAGGAGGCGTGGTCCCGTCTCCAATGCTGTATCCAGTTGTCTCTATACATCCATGGTGGATCCCTGTTCCACGGAGTACGCCATGTTGTTCTACAAGAGACTAGAATGGACTACCAAACTTTGGCTCTAGATGGGGCCAGTCACGTTTTTGCGCTGGCCACTGTAGAGCTCTTAAAGACAATCTGTAACATCATCACTAGATGCCACTAATTCCTACACAGTGGACCTTTAAGCAGCATCTCACCGAAGAATCAAAATCTGAAACGTTCTCTCCAGAGAACAAAGCTGAAGATGCAGCATTGTTGCCCATCTGGACATCTTCTGCCAGTCACCTCTTAACACTGTGCAGAAAGCATACATATACATGTCATTTATTTAATGTATGTTTGATTAAGTCCAAAGCCTTGGATGAGTCAGATATTTTATACATCATTATATTTTCACAAATATTGAGAAAATGCACATTTTTCTTGAAAATATATGAAAATGCATGTTGCTCCATACTTAGCCTGTACCAGTTGTTTCAAGACTAGTCTCCTTTACCTCTGTGGCGTCAGTGATCTGGTCTGGCATCACAGCTTTTACCTGCACTCGATGAAACACTTGCTGTATTCTCACAGTATAGACAGTGGTGATTAATACGTAATTTATGCAGCAGTAATTAAAGTGAGACAATGGGGGGCAAAGGAATAGGAGTCCTGTGGGCTGACTGCTCTGAACACACGGCAGGTTATGAGAAGCATGTGCTGTAGGTGCAGCTCCCAAAATAACAATGCTTTCAATAGCTTATGTCAATAATTTAACATCTTTTGATTTTATTCTATTTTTTTTTAAAGTGCAGTAACGGATGAATATTTCATTTTGGTGCCTCATGCAATCTCCCTCTGTAAAGTCTCCTGAGGTCAAACATGCTGGGTCTTTAAGGATAACAACTTTAAATATATCTATATGAGATTCAGTCACCACTTGTATGACATGAGAGTGATTCGTCAAAATAAAGTATCCAAAAATATCAACACTAATTTGTATATTATATATATTTTTTATTCATACTTCCAATCTCTACTTCACATGAACCAGAAAGCCACTTTTATCTTCAGTCTCTATGAGGCAAAGTCATCGGCAAGTCAGAACCTACGCGCAGCGCAGGTTGGATTCTTTTGTCAGTGTGTGTGTGTGCACACTGCAGATATACACAACATATACTTACAGTATATTTATCTCATGTAGAAATGTCACTAAAAGTCTCTCTAGAGATCAAAACATTGTCTAAAAAAAAAAAAAAAACAAATGAAAAAAACAAAACAACATACAGTAGAAGTCGTTTTGAACAGAACTACACCAGTACATATTTTATCAAGACACTCAAAGAAGAGCATTTGCTATGAGTTTGATCAGTGGTCATTTTCAGCAGGTTGTGTGTGATTCCTATCATGTGTTAACCAAGGCTGTTAGCTAGCACTGTGATGCATGGGTGGCACCGATGTCTCGCTGGCTCTGTGACAAGCAAGGCAAATGCCAATTAATACAGTTGATGAAGCGCACAATTCATTACATGTCAGTGACAAAATGGGTGGCACCCAGAACTCTCAGGTCACCTTGGTTCAACAGCTGTGCAGCGATAGCAATCATACAATCATTCATGAAACGCAGATAACTGTGAAGGAGAAGATTGAAAACAAAAAAAGCAAAAAAACAAACAGGTGTTATCTCTCAGACGTTCAGATTGGTTTAAATCAAATTTGTTGCTCCAAATAAGAAACACAGAGGTTTAAAGGGAATGATGAGGTTGCAAAAGTGTTTAATTTGCATAACTGTGGAGATTTATGAGATGAAATTCAGCTCTGCTGTGACAGTTCCTCTGAGGCTCGAGAGAATATCCGATTTGGACTGAGGAGGATGTGCGTTTTACAGCAGCTCAATATTAAAATGTGTCCGCCACTATAAACCATTTCACTCAGCTCTGACAGTGAAATAAAACATCAGTGTCCCGAGATTAAAATCAGGTGTCAATAAAACTGGAGTTGGGGAGTAAAACCAACTTAATCAAGCATTTACCATGTCCCGTTCAAAACAGTATGTGAATGTTTGTCATTTTCAAAATAAAAAATATAATTCAAGCATCTGGAAAAAAAAATCCATTTCATCATATGAAAAACAAACTCTTTAAAGCATTTCAATCACACGTTCATATGACATTTCTGTACCATCATATACATGAAGCGTAACTTCACTGTAATCTTTCAGTGTCATCAGGATTGTGAAAGTGATTTCTTTAAAACAGAAAACATTTCCAACCATTCACATTCAGGTCTTAAGGTTCCCATGTGTTATCAATACTCAGTGCCTTCTTTGAATGTGACACACACGCAGCAGAGGCCCAATCCTGAAGCTTTTCTGCTGTTAACACGCCATGCAGGCACACAGTAAAGATAACATTTCCCTCATATGAATCACTCATTCCTGCCTTGCCCTGAAATAGACAAGAAAGGCTTTGGGATGTGCCACTGAAAGAGATACCCATGTTGAACAGAATAATGCACAAATGTTCTATTTGGGTGGAAGTGACACCATTTGTGAGCCAGCAGGATTAAAATCCAGTTATTTTTAACAGGTTTGGAAGTTGGTAATCACCAGTGTGATTGTCAAATTAACTAAAACACACCATAGACACAATTTCCTCAGCTCTGCAATCACCTCCAAACTGTACCGCTGCCATTTCTTTCCTTCATTCTTTACCTGAAAAGGCCTTAAAGTGCTTCACTTCATCTCTCTTTTTTTTAACACAAGGAAGATTTCTTGTTTTTGGAAGTGCTTTCATCGCCGAAGACCATCAGCTGACAGGGGTCTCTGTGGACAGGCTCTTAAAAGATGCTCTTAACCGCACCTAACCCGGAATATACTGTATACAATACATGACATACATGATAAATACTTAATTTAAAACAACATGATCATTCGTGAAGGTACATTTCTACTCCTTTCTTTTGGTTCAATTTAGTTGTGTAGAGTTCATCGTCATGCTTTCAGTGCATCCAAGACAGACACTTGAAATGGGGGAGGGGAGAGTATAATATGGGTTGAACAGGTTTTTTTTAAAGGAATAGTTTGACAATTTGGGAATTATTCTTATTTGCTTTCTTGCAGAGAGGTATATGAGAAGACTGATAGTCAAATATTCATGTTAAATATGACGCTAGAGTCAGGAGATGTTAGCTTAGCTTAGCATAAAGACTGGAAACAGGAGGAAACTTCTTGCAAAGCTAAGCTTAGCAGCTGCTGGCTGTAGCTTCACATTTAGCATCAGTCTTTTCATCCATCTTTCTGTAAGAATTTGAAAACTATTCCTTTTAGCAAAGAGTCGTCAAGCCACTAATGTGGTGACGTGGGCAAGGAGTTGCTCATAGAGGGCAAATGAAGGGTTCATCTCCAAAATGTTATATATCCATTTACAAGAGAAAAATAATCAAGTTCATCTTAACATTTAGACAATCAATTTTATCTTCTTCCTTTTGTCAACCGTGGATTTAAGCGACATAGTATGTGTCAAACGCTGACATGAATTGATAGTTTAAGCAATCACTCATTTTGTAAAAGTAGGTGTAACTTTGTTTTTTTTAAACGCTGGATATGTCATTTTGGAACAAAACTCCTCGATTGTAAACTGTACCCTGCTGGGGCTAATGCAAGGCAGCATCCAGATGCATTAGCATTAAAAAAACAAAGGCAGTCTGGCTGCAGGAGCCAGAAAAGAAAAAATTAAGAAACATACAAGTGTGGAATGGTAAAAATGTCACACTTTACAGCACACACTTGTATGCACACGCACTCATACATGCACGCACACACACACACACACGCGCACACACGCACACACAGACACACACACGCGAGCACACACACACACACACACACAAGCGCGAATATAATCGCGCAAATGCAGAATCATACTTGCACACTGGACATGTCACAGACATATCTGGCATGCATTTTTTTTTAGAAGAAAACACTTTTTGTTAGAAATTCCTTAACTGGTCTAGAGCTCTGATAATTTCTTTATGTACATAAATTAACAATAAATATAGGTAATGTTTATATATTTTGAAATATATATATTAAATAATGAAATATTCTTATATATTTCAAATATATTCATAGAATTCTTTCTAATTTGAAACATTTTTAAAGAGATATAGTCACAGTTTAGTAATAAAACATGTAAGAACACAGGTCTCCCTATCGGTCTGACTGCAGCACCCCTTTTTTTTTCCAGAGAAATTAATATGCTGCAATCAAAGTCTGGCCTTTTCGTCCAGGCTAATACATTCTACTTCATCAGAAGGATGAGGAATAATGCAATGCATGGTGGCTGACACTGGCAGGGGCAACTGATTATGTGAATTGTGTACAGGGTTAAAAGTACTGGCTTCGGTCTCATCAGTCTTGAGCTTCAACATATAAATATTTCAACACAACACTGACAGGGAACCAGCCCTGACGGAGACCACACAGGCCAGCTTCAAACAAGGCAAAAGGGGCTGATCGGTGAGGATGAGCTCCCAGCTACAACACTTGTTTCATTTTTTGGTTGTGGAACGATACTGCACTCTGATCACATGGAGGTTGGTTAAAGGGACGCTGCAGCGAGGACCTCTAGGGGGACGATTGGTTTGGAACAGTCTAGAGAGTGTAGACAGCCATTAAGACTCGAAAGGACCCCCCCTTCTCTTTGACTCCACCTCTCCTCGTCTTCTGTTCTTCTTTTTATTGACACACATAGACTGGAACTGGACCACATGAACACTGACTGAGGGGAGCTAGGTTGTCTAAATGCATGCAGTAGTTTTCCTTCTCTCTATCTGCGACTCTCTGGTCGACATGGCTTACAGTAGGATGCACTTGGAAATAAGAGAGTAGAAGGAAACGGTTTATCCCACAGGGTGTAAAGAAGGAGCACCTTCCCACAATGCCTCAGTGATGTCGGGGACTCCTCAGTTCCTGCGTGTGATGGGGACACTTCCTGTCCGTGATTTCCTCCTCCTGGGGGTTTAAACCTTTGTGCGCTGGAGACGACTGTTCCTCTCTTTGTGTCCATTGGACCAGCTCACCGTTGGTCCCGCCTCCCCCTCTGTCCTCTCCCTCTCTCTGTCTGGCTGTTGCCTGCACACTGCTTCACAAACAAAACAGGTCCTACAGTATATTGCACAGCATGCCCTCATGGCCTTGGTGGTGTTGTGTCAGTGATAGCGACTTCTCTTCTCCTCAGCCTCGGAGCTGTAGTCCCTTAAACCAATGCCTCGCTGGAGGTTCAATAAGGAGTCTTTCATCTAAGGAGCAGAAACAAGAGGAAGAAACCACATGTTGTTTTATTAAATACAGTGAAATGACACTGATCTACATTAAGACATGGAACTCCTCACTCACTCATGAAACTCTTTCGTTAGGATAATTAATAGTCCCATGGTGCCAGTGGGCAACAGTTCCAAGTGCTGGTCATTCATTAGTGGATGCAAGGTGGGATGGTTATTAAGTGGCTTTTCTAACGTTCATTTACAGACCCTGTGTCCTCATAGGAAGACACTACATTTTGGGTTTATTGACTTTTACTTTATTCTACTTAACTTAGACCTGCTGTCCTCATTAATGGACACTTTTTTGTGCCATCTAGTGGTAGTAAGAGCACAATACAGACGAGACAAGACAACTTGAAACAGGCAACTACTTGCAATGCGCCGTTCTGGAGTGTTCTAAAAACCTGCCGGTTCACAAATGCAACTAGAAGAGACGATTTATCATCTCTCTGCAACAGCTCTCTGTACTTCTGTTCTGATTTCCAGCTTTTCAGGCTTATTTTGTGGCTGGATATAATTTCTAGCTTCTTAAAACATGAATGAGGATAGTGATAGTGAGATACTGGCTACAGCTGCATTTGTAGTAGTGACAAAACAGTAAAAAACAGAAACAAAACAAGCATCAGATGGACTGTATTTATAATAAATACACCACAATCATATGAATAACCAGAGCCAATTAATCAGTCAGTGAGAGTTTGTGCAGTGCTACATTGGTCATACATTGTCAAATAGTTCAGTGAGCTATGGGTCTGTCACGTATGACAGACGAGCAAATACAGAACGTTCTGCTCCTAGTTATATGTGCAGAGTCTACTTATAGATCAACACAAAAGCAGGCACATCCTCCGGGAGTTGTTCAGATTTCGAGAACATCACTAACATCACAGCGTGGTCGTGAAAATGTCTCTTTGTATCTGAGTACCTGGTCTAGCAGCACTACTGACGACTTGATAATCTCCCTCCACTTCTGCAGCTCGGAGTCATGGTAACGCTGCTGCGCCTCCAGGAGCTGGGCCCACTCCATCTGTGTCTGAGGCAGTTTACTGGGAAACACACATGCACACACACATTAGCAACATCAGGGTGCAGCTACTGAAGCATGACTTCCATTCTGAGGAGCTGCCAACAAACAGTTTGGGAAATTGTTTCAGTAAGCCTAGAGCTATTCTGGGGTAATTTTAGGAGCTCCGTGTTTTCCTGCCACACACGTCAGCCGCCATATGGATACACTGGATTAGTGTGCATGTTCAACAGATTGTGTGCAGGGCTCAACATTAACTTTTAAAAGTGGCTGGCAGGCTGGCAACCAGGCATCTGTTTTTGGTTTACAAAACTGAAAATATGGTTTCCTTTTTGAGTGCTCCTATATTTTGAGTAACTAAGATACTATGCAGCTATACACCAGCGTAATAACGAAAATGTGAAATAGAAGAATGTTTAAAAACTTTATTAATGAACAAAATTCTTTGTCATTTATGTTATTGTGATACTTTACATAATCTTAAGTGTTATCGGTCAAGGTGTCCACCCTCAATCTGTGGTATAGGAATACCAGTAGTTATGTTCTTCACAGATCCCTCAAAAATTAATCCAGCAAGTCACTTCTTCCATCTGTTTCCTCCCTTCAAATTTTGCTTTGCTCATTGTAACAGATGCCCGAGTGCACGAATAAACGCATCAATGCACATGCAGCATTGTCTGGTTCCTGTTCTGACTGTAACAGCAGTATTTAAATATCACTAATGCAACAAATATTGAAAATGTATTTATTTTGGAGTGTACATTTTGCTGTTTGCTGATCCCTTTTTATATGTTAAAAAATGGTTGCAACTGATGGCAATCAAAGGCCAAGAACTGGTTGCCAATTTCTCAAAATGGTTGCTGATGGAAACCTGGCAACCTTTACTGTCAAGCCCTGGTGTGTGTGTGTATATGTGTGTCTGAAACTGTATGTGTGTATTTGTGTGTGACTGCTATTTGGGCAAACAGCCCAACACAACTCCATTCAGTCTCATCTGCTGTGAAAGGTAACGTTTAAATGCCCCAAATCAATTAACCATGCTGAATCTCTGTAATAAATGAGTCAAGTGTGTGTGTGTACCTCTCATGAAGCCGCAGACCTTGCCAAGTTGTTAAGGACTGTGCAGAGTACTCCAGCATCCACAGCTTGTAGAAGAGCATCATGTTGAGGAACACCAGCAGGACCAGGCTGAAGGAGGACAAGTAGGACAGGAGGAGAGTCAACAAACGAGTCCTTATGCATTCATGATGAACTTGAGTAGCTAATCTTTACATGGCAGTGACAAACAGTGCTAGGAACACTTATTATCAAAAACATCTGGCTATGCTGGCTGCTCAGATTATGTACCTTAGACAGATCCTATGGATGGCAATGAGAGGAGAGGAGAGAAAGGTTACACTCAAGACACCAACAATGAGATATTTACAAGAAAACGAAAAGATGTTTCATTGTAAACCAGACAAACACTCAGCAAAGCCTACAGAAAAAAAAATGATGAACTCATGAAACAAGACACTCAGAGAAAATCTTTGTTTATATCTATATGAGATGAGAATGTGTCGAATTTGTATTTGCATCGCCACAGCCAGATATACAAGCATCCCCATATGAGTGATTGTGTGTGTTGTGATGAGCTGCGTACACAAAGCTGATGATGAGCAGCAGTTTGGAGACGCTGTACAGAGCCAGGCCTCCGGGCAGGTGATGGTGTTCTGGACTCTGGTGTCTGGTTTGCGTGGAGCCCGCCACTTGTTTGATCCTCTGAATCACTTCCTCATCCGTCGGCGTGGTGACGGGGCTGAGCGCCTCGTCCAGATGCTGGCTGCGAATGTGGGGGAGTGGCCTCTTCTTCCGCCTCACCGTGGAGTTTTTCACTACCTTGGCCTTCGGAGACAGTTGGTGAGACTCGGTCAGTATCTCCTCCAGCTTGGACAGCTCCAACTCTGAGAGGAGAGAAGACAAATGTATCATGTCTCATCCACATTCACTTAGAAGTGGCTACACTGGCTGAGCATCTTTACATGCTGCAGTCTTTGTGGATCAAGGTAACTTTGGTATTTTTTAACCTGAACCCTTTTTCTCCAGCCTTGTGTGTCCATGGGAACAACATTTTTTGAAAGCGGTCCTGTATTCAATGAGGACTGCAGCTGTCAGTGAAACAGGCTGCAATGTTTCCACTCAGGGCATTTGTGTGTTGTGAATGTCATCCACTAAAATCCACTTTTTTTGCCATTGTCAGGCTCAGATTTTTATTTTAAGTGTGTGACAACATTATGGAAGGATCCTACATAGATAGAACTTTTGTTAGAATAAGAACCTTTTTATTTAACCACAAACAGCCCCCAAATTGCTCCTGCCAAACCCACCAGGCTCCATTTGAATAAACAAAACATTTAGCATGAATAGAGCCAGTGTAATTTTTACATCTAACTGGGTGAATTAAAAGGTTTATTTCAACCAAACCAGAGTTGGTGGTTGTTAAACAGTGGAAAAACCAACCAAGACAGGTTTTGTGAGTCTTATTTTGTTTCTGGCAAAACAAAATAAGCAGAGATCTGTGCGTCTCTGCTGGGGAACTCACAGGGGTAGCAAGATGGCTACGTGGAGTCTGGCAGGTTTGGTGATTGTAAATTCAGAGCCGTTTCGGTTGAAACAAAAAGGGTCTTACTCCTTAACAAAAAGGTCTATTTCTGGAGGGATGCCCTCTATAATGCTATAAGGCCAAAACACACTGGCGGTGAATGCAGCGTGTAGGTAGCTCTTCTTCTCTGCTCCTGTGGCACCATGGATTCATAAAGAGAACTCTGTTGCTATTGCTGTCTTGTATGTGACAAAGACTGGATGACAAGAGACTTGTTGAGGTCGAGAAATATCCTGAGCAAAGCGACCCGCAATACCATCATTATCGAGAAAATGGCCAAAAAACTATTGCCTGGCGAGTCCTAGCTCTGGAGATCGGCTCTTCAGGGGAGAAATCAACTTTTATTAGGGGCTCTCCACATTATTTAGTAGAAGTAGTAATAACTTTGTGTGGTTGTCTGTTAACAAGCTGCAGTGCGATGCGCCTGGAGTGTGCTAGGGGCAGCACTTGATGTGCGTTACATGATGCCCAATGCCGTGGCAGTGCCAGTATGTTTTAAGCTTTAGAATAATAATATGAGCCTGTCGGTGGCGAAAACAAGCACTGTTAATGGATGTATATTGATGGTGCATATTTCTCTGTGTGGTTAAATTGCTTGTTCTCACTTAATATTGGACCAGTGTCAAAAACTGTTGTTCCCATTAGTCACTTAGACTAATATTTTCCAGGTTGAAAAATACCGTAGTTACCCTGTAATCCTTTTCATTCCTGTCTTCTCTCTTTTTAATCCTTCTCAAAAAATACCAGAGAATTTCCACTGATGTATCTGTTAATTGACATCTATGAACCATAAAGATAGCTATATTTTGTAAAAATTTAACAATGTATTTTCACAGAGGAAATTACAACGTAACATAACTGTGAAAACAAACAAACAACACTCAAGTATACCTAGATGGCGGAAGTTCTCTTCTAACCCGCTCCAGAAGTTTTTCTCTATGAAGCCTTTCACCAGCCCCCACGGCTGTTTCCTGTAGCGCAGCTCTGTTGATACCCTGAGAGACAGACAGAAATGCATTTATACATATAGACAAACAATCTTTTACAATAGGATGTAAAACTAGAAATAGAAATGGGTAAAATATGAAAAGTTATTGAAATGATTAAAATATGATCAAAATAATATGATTTGCATTACTTTAATGTGACATATTATGTGTCAGCTGTGAGTCATGAGTGTCTGACAGCGTCTTACTCACCGTAACCGACACTTATTCTTGGCCACCCTGGTGAGCATGTAGCGGTTGAGAGTGTAGAAGTAATCGTGGTAGGGCACGTCATGTGTGATGACCTCAGCATCGATGATGTAACACTCACTTTCCTGGCTGGCTTTGTACAGAGTCTGGTGTATGAAGGCAAATGTGGTTAATTGATTGTTTGAAAGTCATCTCATACACAGAGGGTATAAATAATATGAAATGTTTCTGATACACTAGAGTTGACTGTACCTGTGTCTCAGTGACTGTGGCTGTTTTGGGGGCCAGGGGGTTGGACAGTGAGATGGTGTACAAGATCTCTCTGGTCTGATTCCCAGCCTCCTCCTTCTTCCACGGGTGGTACACCACATCTGGACAGCAGAATAATGAGAGAGGAGCACATCTTTAGTCTGCCTTTAGTCCAGAGAGGTCGGGGGTCAGCTGTAGAAGCGTCAGAAATACTGACCTGAGAATCGTCTCTGTTCCATGAAGTCACTCATGAACTGCGACTCTGTGAAGAGGATGTCGTAGAGCTTGTCCACGCTGAACTTGTAGATCTCATTGATGTGCTGCCTGCCATTCAGATCCTCATGAAAGGCCTGTACTTCACCTATGTGTCCAAGACGACAAATACATTTAGATAGATATGGATGATATATTCATGTAAAAAGAGAGGTGTTCATTCTGTTTGGTGCATTTACCCTCGTCGTGTGTTTCGGAGGAGTCACTGAGCTCAGTGGGGATGTCTTCGTTGTCATTGAAGTCCAGAGATGGTGAAGGGACAGGTCCACCAGGCCCGCTGGTATCATTGTTCTTCTCTTCAACTAAGAGGGGCACTGTAAGCAGCTCGCCGTCTGGTAGGCAGTCTGCATACTCTTCTGCTGGGAGGTCAAACTGGAAAAAACAAGAACAAAGACATCACTCACTTCAATAAAGTTTCCCTGTTTAATCTTGTCATTAAAATATCATGATCCAGAGAGGTGTTGCACTCGATTTGCGTATGTACAGTATATATGTAACTTACTGTGATGGGTGTGTCTTGGTTGCCGGGGCTGGGGATGGTGCTGTTTGGGACCACCTTCTTATGTAACAGAGGAGGACTCCCCTCTGGCTTGGCCTCAGCGCTGCTCTTAGACAAGTTGTCATTGTTGATCTCATTCTCTTCGTTGGGGATCTCTTCACTGAACCTGAAGGCCAGAGGCCAGAGACAGGCACAAAATTCACTTAGTTCTCATAATCTCATCTCAAATCCCAAATGATGTTCTTGTAAAACCTGTGTCGAACAGTGCTTGAAGACTTTCAATAGTGTGATTTACTTTCATAGCTAGACGGGCAGTATTTGACATGTGGTAAACCACAACTGATATCAGAATGTTTGGACCATAAATTGTGTGTAAAGATGGATGGCATGACAGCTAACCAAAAGTGAAGCTAAAAATCTTGATCGCCCCTTGGTGGCTGGCTGCAGTACACATCCTAAACCCTGTCCCCTCCATGTTAGTGGGTGAGACATGGGCCAAACTAAAAAAAAAAAAAATCAAAGCACACATCACATACATTTTTCTAGAAGGTAATTCAAGTATGTATATATGGCTTTAAACCGCAGCTCCACTCCTCCATCACTACTGCAGGCTCTGGCTCCAAAAGTGCACGATGACAGCAGCAGTATCTAAGATATTTTGGCTTCACGTTTGCACAGTGGGAGGAAGTGGAGACATGGTGTCCATCTTTATATACAGTCTATGATCAAAGTCTTTATGTGTGGGAAACAAGTGAAAATGAGCTACACTTCACTTTTCTAATGGGTATGTAGTCACAATCACTTCAGGATCATCTAATTTGAGCTCAGTTCAGCCTCTCACATTGCCAATTAAGTTCACCCAGAGAAGTGTACAGACTGCTGGGTATAGGCAAAAGTCTAAACAGTCACATCATTCAGATCGCAAGTTGACAGAGAGCTTCAGACATTGTGAGTGCACGGGAGACCAAACAGATGTAGGCCATGACTCTATTTATTTCACATAGTAAATCCAATTCAGACATGATGGGAAAACATAAAAGAAGGCAGTGACAGAGCAGAGAAGGATCTTTTAAGCCTTCAGACAAATGCAGTATTTGCTGTGTTGCATCCTCTGCAGCTTTAAAGTACTCCGTAGTTGCTGAGAAGGATAAAACCCAGCTGGCAAACCAACGGGTTTAAAACAAATACCATAAACTGCAGTGTAAATTAGCTGAGAAGCTGAGAGGCACGTTAAGTGTGTAATTGTGTATCTAAGTGAATTAGTTCAGAGAGCTGGAGAGTGTGTGTCCGTGCTTGTATGTGACTGAGTGTTGCTTGTTAGCTCATATCGGGCTCTCTCATTATTTCATAATTTGGACAATTAGGTAATCGACTGAGAGATGTTTATAGAGGTAACCATAGTAACTGATGTTGCAGCATAAATAGACTCACCCCATGGTGTTGAAGTCGTCATCAGGGGGAACATAGTCCTCATCGTCACTAGTTAGGCCGAGCTCGTTGCCATAGCACTGATGAACAAAGTGCCACAGTTCTTTGGGGCACAGGGGCTGCAAGAGGCATCATCCAAGTCAAGTGAGGAATGAGCAGACTCAAGAAAACTGCAGAGTAAAATTGTGAATTTTATCTTTCAGACGAAATGAGCAAAATTGCTAGCTGATCAGATTTGCTTACCTTGTCCAGCAGTGCATTCTGCCACAGTCTGAACATCATCATGTACGTCCTGTCCCTGGCTCCAAATGAGGTGAAAAAGTGCTGTGAAAAATACATGGTAAATATGTTTATTGAGTCTGGTGAGCATTGGGACGACATAGCACTAAGGAGAAAATAAAGGGCCATTTTTGAAGAGCCCACTTTAAACTCCTATAGTCTGGGGTTATTTTAATTTGTAGTGACATATTTTGGCAGTAATGGTGGGCATTAATATCTCGGCAACTGTTCTCCAGCCACCATTTTGGTGCGGGAACATGTCCCCCCTGTTGGCGGTAAAGATTAAATCACCAATCTTCCTGTTATTAGCCAGACTGTACTTAAAGGCTTCCCTACTGTCTCTTTAGGCAAAGATTTGAAACGTATTCACTGCTCAGTCTCAGCTATCCCTTCATTAGTTACTAATATAAACACCTGTATTCAGTCATGCTGTGTCCTTTACCTTCTCAGTGTCGGTGCAGACCTGGATGGCATTGGGAATGAGGCGGGCAGTCTTCTCTTTCGTCATCGAGCAGATGTCCTTTAGCCGCACTGTCAGCTACACACACAAATGCACACAATTACACATACACTTCATAGTTCCAAGTATGACCCAATACTGTCAATATGAAAAAAAAAAAAACGATGGGATTGCGCAGAGGTCCGCAGCGCTAACAAGCATACCAGTGTTTCCCAGCGGAAGATGTTGCTATAGAAACAGATCCAGTTCTCAGAGAGGTAGAGTCGTCCCTGCAGGAGGATGTCCCTTTGAAGAGCACAGGAGTAGTCTGGAGCATAAAGACGTCACATGATCAGATAAAAGAAGCCAAGTATGATGCACAAGTACAAATCCATCACAGAGAAACTACGTCACCAAGACAGAAAAATTGTTAAATACATCAGACGGCCATCGAAAAGTATGTCCATCGATAGATCAGACACAAGAACATGCTTAAATCCAATCAAACTTATTTAAATGAACAGTTCATTTGATAGTGCTCACCATAGGTGGATTATGACACAATGGGCCCCTGGGCCTGGATGCGTAAAAGGCCCCCTTATATTTCAATATATGTATAACAATCATTTACCATAACTGTTATATGGTGGCTGATGTCTTCCTCTGTGTGAAGGGCAAGGAGCTTCTGGACCTCATTGTGTGCATTTCAGCTGCTGTTCGTCTTTTGTGAGTTAGCTGCTAACTGCTATTAGCTGCTTTTTAAATCTCCCGGTGTTGGGTCACAAAAATAAAACGTTGTCAAATGCTACACCCGTCCTGCCAATGGTCCTGCCTGCCAGCTGTATCTTTGACCCAGACGATGATTCCACGATGTTACTTCCTCAATTGCTGTCTTAAAGGTGAGACATCTCTGTCCTCCACTTTCGCAACTGTACTTTTTTAAAGAATGACAAGGCAGAATAAATGCACAACATTCCCACCTTCAACAGGCCGTGTAAAAGGGGCAAGTGTCTTCACGCGGAGGCTCTGGCTCAGGGGCCTGTGGGCCTGGGCTCGGTAGACCCACTCGATAAAACACCCATGACGCTCACTTTACTGTTTCTAAGAAACCTCACCGCAGTGCATTTCAGCACTGCCCTTGTGTGTTTATCTTGTTTACTCGCTGTAAAATCATCATTACCAACCCACAGAGCTCAGCTCATAAAGCAAGAGCTCAGTTTTACCCTAGAGTTTTATTTTTCAAGGCATTTCAGACAATCACAGCATTCATTGGAAGAGTTGGGAAAATCATGTCAGAACAAATCAACTGCACTTGTGACATTATGTTTTCACGGCACATTGCAGTACGTTGTTCAGACTGCTGGACAAGTCCATTATCAGGATACAAGTTCCTTTAAAATAAGTAGAGGATGATATTTTTTACATCATCAGTGACACAGGCATATTTAAATCATGTCACAATGCTCAACACTTGGAATGTCCAATATTTGTTTTAAGTGTCCTCTCTGTCCTGGAAGAATTAATCATTTTCTAATGACTACTAACATAGCTGCACCCTTTTGGTGCCCTGTGTGTCTGTGGCATCCACTCACCCACAATGAGCCTTTCTGTGTCAGGGAGCTGCTTGAAGAGTTTCCTGAAGTCCTCATTGCGCTGCTTGTATGTCGGGCTCAGCACCTGCAGAGACAGGCAGAGTCAGAAACGAGGCCGCACGCACATATGCTTCCAAAACTCCAACACTCTACATGCTCTCTGACTCACTCACTCACTCACAAGTGTAGTCTCCGTCACGCAGGCCGCGAGTTATTCGTTTCCATGAGCATGTGAGATAACCTTGTTAAAGCCACCCACAGGTTTGATCAGGAGTCTGGTTTACTCTAATCGTACCGTGGATGCCACTCTGTGGGTGGTTTTGACAGGCACTGGAAATGGATGTATAGTGGATGGCAAGCAGAGGTATGTGGCCTGATTGTCTTTAAGGCTGCGTCATTAATTGATAACAAAGCACAATTTCAAAACATCAGCCCGCTGCAGATCATTCAATACACATGCTGCCATGACTATGAGCATTTACAATGTGAGTCACATTCTCTGAGTTGCGTTAGAGAGCAACATGTGTCTGACAATGAGGCTTTTGTCTTGTGACGAGGGTTGGGACAACTGATGAAACCTCAAACAAAACTGTGGTTTGATTAAACCTGGTCAGACAAAAGCTTTTCAACACTGGGAAAGATATTCCTACTCAACATGATCGCACTTTCCTTTGCTTGGCTTCGGCGGAATTGATTATTTACAGAGACAGCCTGTGATGTATAAAAATCTCCAAATGTGTGCCAAAGTGAGGGCTCTCACTGTCTGTGCCAGATGCTTTCCTTCAACAGGAAAGCTTCAGGAAACAATAGCTGCCAATACGGTAACAAGATGTATGTCGAGACAAAAGAAAAATATACTCGTTTGGATTGAGGCTGGTGGGAAAAGAACAGCTTGTTCAGATTAAAAATCATTACATGTGCCTCCCTTGTGAAACAAAGCAGTTGGGATACAGAAACACGGTTTGGGAGTATGTGTTTCTGCCTCCACTCGGCTTTGAGTAAAGTGTGGTGATGAGAATCACGGCCCTGAAAACATGTGAGAGACATTTATGAAAGCCCTGACTAATTGCTTGGTATTAACAACACACTCCATCATGCTGCTTCCTTTTTAAAACCTTCATCCGTGACCACAAACGACCAAAACACACCTACGCTGTTCATACATGCAGTCACTCACACAGTAACCCGATGATCACTCCAAACAACAGGCCTCAATGAGCTCTGGGAGAATTCAAATAGCTATGACTCAGACCCAAACCAGTTGTTTTCTTTAGTAGTGGGGAATTACCGCGCAAATGCTTACAGCAGCATACAATATAAAGTGCTACAAAGCCTTTTCACTGACCCCTCTCATGTGACTTTACTTTGCCCGAAAAAAACTCAATAAATCTGTCTTAATTTCCACATCATATTTTCTTCACTCATCTTCTTGTGGTTTCAACTTACAGCAGGGATCTCCTCAGCGTCCCACTCAGGGTCTTGAAGGTCCGAGGCAGCCCAGCCCCACTCCCAACCCCACTCCCCTCTAGCTGGACCCTGCAGGAGCCATCCTGCCAACGCCTCATCCAGCTCCAGCACGGCCTCCCACTCCGCCATCGTACAATCCTCATCCAATTCCATATTCACCGCACCAGATCCTATTTGGCGCCTGGATGGCAGCTAATTTTCCAAAACGGGGCCCCAGTGGGCTCTGCCCAAGTTGGACGACTTGTCAGTTACAGTAGGTTTGGAAAATAAGAGCAGACAGAGCTTGTGAATCCAGTGGTTTGGAAGCTGCAGTATCCGCCCCCCTGTTTTGGGTGCTGCTCCCTTTCAGCGTTGAGCAGTGGACACGGCACACTCCAGCCACATGATCCTTGTCTCGCTCTGTCGTTCTCTGGCTCTCTCTCTCTCTCTCTCTTGCTTTCACACACACAGGGAGAGGAGTTACGGCCGTTGCCCTCTAGTAACCCCGGTCAACAAGTCCTTTATTATCATGCCGGTAGCTTTTTCCTTTTTTCCTGCTTACTCCTCCTGGTAAGTGTGAGAGCTGAGTGTGTCTGTGTGTGTGTGTGGTGCTGTCCAGGTCTGAGTGCCTAGTAATTACCCAGTTTACGACCAGAAAAGAATGAAGCGAGTTTACTTTGTGGAGCAGAGTGCTAATATAAACAAAGATGTGGATGGGGAGAGGGAAGAAAACAGGACTGAAGAAAAGAGAGAAATGAATGTTTCCAGTCCGCTGAAGTATGTGTTGAGTCCGACTTGCTGTCCATCCAAGCGATTGAGTTACAGATAACAGATGTGAGCATAACCTCCAGTTACCTCTGCCTGCAAAACAACACCATCAATCTTGACTGGGTCTGCACTGGTTTGCTGTCCAGAGCTTACATCGCAGGGTGAAGTGGCTGCACCGTCATACTGTACATATTTCTTTGCCTGTGCGTTTCATTTGATCATTCACTTTATGTCCAAGAAGCTGCTGGAATCCAAACTTAAGGCACCAAAGGTGATAATTTGAAGGTATGAAGGACCCCCCTCCTTTTTCCCTGCCTTGGTATTAGAGTCATTCATGCACTCATGATACTTGATCACCCTCTGTTACTCTTAGCAGGCAAGAAAGATTCAGAGCTCGCAGTTCCTATTTTAGGAGTGCTTAAAAAACAATTGGTGTGCATGTCCTCCCACTACGCTTGACTGAAAATATTTCAAGAGTCAAGATGGTGTACATAGTGATGGAGGTCACAGCAGCAGTTAAGAAAAAAAAAAAAAGATGTTGCATTTCATTGACTTCTGCTGGATGAAGCAAATGTGTCGCCCACATTTGTGCACTGGAATTCAGCCATGACTTCCACCTTTCCTCTGCAGTTATTTCCCGATCCTCACTTTAATCAGACACTGAGGAAGATGCAGGAAAAAAAATAGTTGGAAAAAAACCCATCTTCGGCAGCAGGCCTCTGGAAAAACAGTGATGATGATTCACCCGCAGCTGTAAAAAGGCCTACACCCTGTTGAGAATGCCTTTGCATCACGTGGATGAAATTTCAGCGACATGAGGGTTCGTCTGCTAAAAATTGCCGCCAAATTACTTGTGGCGTCCGTGCAAAGAGTGGTCCTTTATTTCCCGCTCATTCAATTCATTTTCTCCGATAAATCGAGCAAAGAAAGAGGCCATTGTGACTGATGCAGCGGCCGGCGTCGAGGTGACAGTATGAGACTCGGGATGAGGTGGGACTGTGGATACACAGTGTTTATAGATTTGGTTAACTATTAACGCTGGACAAACAGTAGGGGATGGAGGCGACTGGTACAGTAAAGCAGGGTGGGGTTTTAGTGTTTTTTTAAAGGGGGGGGTGAGGGCTTGAGGTGTATGCGTCCATCTCGTGAACAATCCCATCCTTTCATTGTGGTTGTTTGTCATTTGAAAGGCAAGGTATGTGTGTGCACATCGATCGAAGTGAAGCGATGTAAAAGGCCTGACGTACTCTCTGCTGCATCGATCTATGCAGATCTAAACAAATTTAAGTCTAAAGCACTAATCTTGCTCACCCACTGTTTTCAGCATTTACAGTATCCTCTTGTTGCCAGCTTCCTGGAGCCTGTGGGTATGGTTGCCACACATTGCGACAAACTCATGTCGATGCAAAGCGAATAAACAGACGCTATCAGGGGGCTGTAGAAGAAAGGTGGCCACTGTGCGAAACTCTAACAGGCTCAGAACTCACATTGGGACGGATGGAGTTTTAATCACTGTGGTTTCAGTGCCATGGGAGGTCATCATTGCCATGTAGAGGCGCACACATACACACATGCACACATGCACACGCTGTCCTACATGCAGGTAGACCATGGGTTCGACACCCATACACACAGTCCTGGTCAACTGAGGCAAGAGTACCCATTGGACATATTTCACTTGATTGATTGGCTTTCAGTAGTTATTGTGTGAATAAGGACAAGTGTACAACATGTTAGGAACACAGTACTAATCCTGAGATCTTTTTTAAAATGTAAATTCACCATTGTGGAGATGTCGTGACGGTAAATTCCACTCTCACTCATACTGCCAATTTCACACAGCAAGAAATCACGTCAGTATATAAAAGCCATTTGGTTTTGATATCCAGCTTTTAGAACTCTTTTCACTTGTTTAAGGGATAAGGCTGGCATTGCTCTATATTTTTCTTACTGTCAACAAATCCACTGAAAAGAACAAAACCAACGGGGCCTTGGCGCGTCTCTCGATCCCTTCCGACTTTCCTACTTTATCTGTGAAACTCAGCCCAAATCCCACTGGCTCCTACTGAAGACATATATCTTTATAAAGAGCTCACACGTACATAGTTTCAATTTTATAAAGGCTAAGTCATTTTCTAAAACAGCTGTGGACTGCAGTTTTTGAGCAAATTTTACTAAAAAAAAGGGGTAAACTGTGCATCTGTTGGGGACTCATTTTAGCTGAGGATTAATACACATGCTGCATGAGGGAGCATTTTCAGCAGCAGGATGGTGTTTGTGGGACTGAGTCAATATAAACTGCACTGCCCATGTTCCTGGTACTGAAGGAACGTGTCACCTAGTGCAACAGTGTGGCTCAATGTGTTTATAATACTTTTGGGCATTAACTGGCACGTTACCATTTACATCTGTTTATGTAAATTTTCAATTTGTGCATTAAAAAAAAATATTGTTAGAAAGTTTTTACGCTTCTGGGAGGTGGAAAAGATGGTCAATCAAAGGTAACTACGGCTAAGTGCAATGGAAATAGTTTTCTCTACATCTTCTCTGGATGGCTTTTAATACGCTTATGTATGCACCAAGCAGCAACCTCCACGGGTGAAAGATGACACCAACATGGAAGCACCAAAAACTGCAGTTCTTTGAACGGCCACTTGAGGCTGGCTTCAGAAGCAGGTCAATCCCCACTGACCCCCATGTTGAAATGCCCAATTTTACAGCAGAAATAAAGATGTTTACAGGCTGGTACAAAAACCGGGTTTGGTCTCTATTGCTGATTTCAACTTTCATGACAACTGCATGCGGGTGAATTTTTATATAACTCATCCGTTTACATTTTATTAGGGCTTAAAGTTACACATAATTAAGGGCAGCCTTCTTTGACAGGCTGTCTGCCAATCATGTCCTTGACTTCTCACTCAGATCCAACCCTCCCTCCTCCACGGCTTCAGCCTCTCATCCAAATATGGCCACTTCTGGCTCCGAAAAACCAAGATGGTGACGGCTGAAATGCCTAACTCAAGGCTTCAAAATGGGAGTCCACTAGCCAATGGGTGACATCACAGTAGCTTCATCCATTTTTTGTACAGTCTATGGTATGCACACAGGGTTGTTATCAGAACTCTTCCAAGAGAACACAGCTGTAATACTACTGGTTCAAAACTCTCTATTTTCATTGCCCAGTGTGCTGTCCATTATCATACATCCATTGTTTTCCTTTGTTTGAGGTTTGACGGGTGCTCTTTTAATTTAGTCATCTCGTTGTGCCCTCTTCTTCTGCAGTGGCACATAACTAGAGCATTAGCACCACCCATACTGCTTATCTCAGTTAACCAACTCCCAATATTATTATAAATAGTGGATGGGAAAGCACCTACATGTGCATTTTCTTCAGCTGATTTTCTAAAATTCTGTTGAAATTTGTGCTACAATTGGATGGAAACCCGAGTAATAAAGCACTATGGCAAGGAGATAAAAGCTATATCAGCCTTTGGTTGTGTAACCAGCTCTTGTTTGTAGAGTAAACTCATTGCTGCTTTTGTTCTTTTCATTGAATTTGTTGACAATAAAAATAAATGACTAGCTTTAAAATTTTCAAGAAAATTTTGGGACACACTAATAATGATGATTGCTTTCTTGCAGTGTATTCGTTAACGAGAGCAGCTGGTCCTGGTATCTTGTACACTTTATGTATACTGTGCTGGTAGCCAGCTGTGTGTTGTCTGTAAACATGACATTTGAATCTGTTAGTCAGAGAAGCATCAACTCTAGATTGTTACTTGTGATGCTGCTTTCTAGATAGCGGGTCAGTAGAGGCAATGTGAGTGGCTTACTACAGCTGAGTACATTAGAGAAGTATTCAAGAAGCTGTCTGGACTTTTTGGACCAAGCCTCTTTTCAACTCAACAGCATGTATTCATCTTCCCCAACTGCAGGGAGGTCCCTGCATCTTCTGCTGACGGTCATGCCTTACAGCCTAAATGTCCCAGTGTTTAAGTTATTTTTAGGACATGGACACAGAACAGGATTTGGGCTAAAGAGGGAAACATGCCACGACCTTAAGCACCATGCTCCATTCCCCTGTTGTTCAAAGGCATTCACGGCTCGTCCAGAGGCCCTTGTGGTGGTTTGTTGATTTGTTTAGTACAGTGAGAAACTCAGTGGGCTTGTTACCACCTGTTGCATACCAGAATTAGAAGTTTGAATGGTGACAGGCCTTTGGAAAGGACTTGTGAAACACAAATCCAGAAGCTTTTGACTGTCAAAACAAGCTTCAATTCATGTGCTAAATAAGACTACATGGCTTTAGTTTGACAAATATTCAAGATGTGTCTATTTCAACATGTCAAAATCACTTCCTCCAAAGTCTGGCTTTGCTATTAGGTGGTAACAACACCAGCTGAAGTCAATGGGATGAGAAACAGGCAGGAGGGATGTTATCATTTCAGCGGTCTGATAACAAAGATTCAGAGCGCTAGAGACAGAAAGTTATCCAGGGTTGCACAAGAATACAAGTCATGCTTACTCTCAGGATGTGTTGTCTTTCATGCTGGGGAGAGAGGGGAAGAGTGTACACACAGGGAATAAAAAAAAAAAAGAAATAAAACAACATAAAATGGGAAAAAGTCCAACAAACACTACACTTCTGGAGAAAGTAGGGTTTGACACTAAGTGATGAAGTCCAATGCTCTCATACTTGCACACTCTGAGGGCTTAACTGACGCAACAGACAGCTTTTCTGTGTAAGGGTTGGATGAAAATAATTATTAAGGGATTGTTCATCAGCTCATCACATGTAGAGCAGTTATTCTGGGGTCATAAATAGAGTTAGCACGCCATCTTGTGGTGAAATATAAAACTGCAACACCCTGGCTTTGTTGCCTTGACTATGCTTAGCATGGTAAATTATACCGTAGTCTTCCCCTTGATTCCCTACATCAGAAAGAACCACCTGTTGCTCTTTTAAGCCCATGCTAAATAACCCCTGCCTAGAGAACCAGTAACCCACAGTGGTGATTTGGTGCTCCAGTAAACAGGGTCAAGGACAACAACCTTTCATCTCGTAAGCAGCACCTGCCACTTAAAACAGCCCCGAAAGACTTCCAGGAGTCACCCACATGACGTAAACTCACACCAGCACACACATACACCCGTCACACACTTCACATATGTTGATGATGTAAAATAAAAACAAGGTGGGACTTACGTTGTACCAGCTTTGGCTCTTCTGTGGAGAGAGAAAGAGAGAAAGAGACAGGGGATGTATTTAACTCTGTGAAACTCGTACATGCTGCAGCAGGCTCGTACAGACACACAGAGGGTGTGAAACATGATCGACCTGATCGTAACAAGTTACAGCGGGCGTGAAGGTCACACTGTACCTCACACTCTCTCCTGCCAAGAATTACAGGAAGTTATTACACTATTTCAATGCCAGAGACCGACTGTCTGTTCCAACTGTGCTGAGGTTGAAAACACAGGGCGAAATTCTCTTTCAGTTCACCTCGCCCCTCAAATAGCACTGATATTTACAGAGCGACATGAAGTTCTTTGAATCAGACATTTATTTATTAATTTCATTGAGGAATCTTTCACAATCTGCTGCTTTTACTGGTGGAACTGAAAGTAATTTCACTCCAAACCTACCATAAACTGCATTAGCACATTAGATATACTGTTAAAATAATGTTTTTATTTAAAGGTCCAGTGTGTAGAAGTTAGGGGGATATATTGGCAGAGAGGGAATAGAGTAAGTGTGTTTACTTTAGTGTGTAAACACCTGAAAATAAGAATCATTTTGTGTTTGTTACCTCATAATGAGCTGTTTATATCCACTTAGGGTAGTGGGTTTTTGTCTATGGAGGTCACCATGTTGCACCTCCACAACGAGGGCGTCCGAAAAACACAGATTTTTTTTAACGTGAAACTACTTTATCAAGTGTCTTTACTGGTTTAAATCAACAGACCCTTTTGTTTTGGAGAAGAAGAGACCTCCGCAGATAATATGGCTCCTGGTAAAAACCTCCACTGAAGGATCTCACCGGGAGTTCACTGGTTGCAATCTGTAATCCTCACCACTAGATACCACTGATCCCCCTAAATCTTACACACTGCTCATATAAAATACCGTAAAACTTCAATTAGTAGCCTGGCCTATTATTTGCTTAAAGCACTGAACTCAACAGGCCTATATTTGGGACAGGTGTCTATATGGGACAGGCTTTTCTTTCCTATGACACAAAACTGTTGCTCAGCAAAGATGGGAAATACAATCAAATTGCTTATTTGAACCAGTATGAATATTACTTGTATGAAAATTAGGCTTCAAATAACATATCAATTGTGTGTTATTTTATGACACAGGATAACGGCACCCGGCATACTGACATAACACCACTTTATCCTGTTAAAACAATATTCATATCTTGGATTATTTTAATGAAAAACACCTTTACGGACTAAATTAACATGAATAATTTACTCGGCAATTGAGGAATGGACATATTCTGACTTTATAACAGTTTCAGAGGTGGGGAGTCACCACTTGTTTTCCCTCATGCAGGCAAATCTAAAGTGATCAAGGTCTTCTCTGGTGCTCATGGTTGCAGTAAAATGAAATGAACCAAGCTGACAATGTGTACCATGCCCATATTGACAAAAGTTGAATGATTTATATTCATATGTGCAATCTAAACAGCTACCTAATGTTAGCTCAAGTGGGGAGCCAACAATCTGTTTTATACACCCAAAGAACTTCTATAAAAATGAGCTGCCTAGCAACCAGGCCAGGCATCTAATTTAGACAGGCCTTTATTTGCCACAATGTGCTAGTTAAAGGGGACTTGGCATTTAATTGAAGTTTTATGGTACATGTACTTCAATATGTCCATCTCTCAGTCTCAAAAGAAATTATTCAGTCACTTATCGTTCGTCTAAAAGTTGTTTCATGTTGTGAAATTATTCCAAAAATCTTAAAATAGGTATCTGAATAATGTTCAACGTTTTAAAACCCATCAGATATATTTCTTCATGAAAAACCAGTTGATGCTGTTGTCGTTTTGGAACAGCAGAGGGCAGCAGAGATGCATCTTAATCATGACTATGACATTACAACATTTTCCAGCCACATAGACACTCTTTCCGCTCTAACAGTCAAAAGTCTCAGAGGGGAAACATGCAGGTGATCATTCAGAGGGTGAAACAAGGAAGAAGGGAGAAGAGGGGGAACAGAGGGGTACAAAGTGATATCCAGTGTCTGATTCCAGCTGTAAAATCAATACAAGCACCACATTTTAAGGTAAAACAAAAACAAAAAAAGGTGTAAATATTAGTTAGCAACAAAACTATATTTTTTCCTATTTTAGAGAGATTGTCTTGATGAATTATTGTTGGACCTTTCCTTGCAAGAACACTGATTGTGATTCAAACATTTTCTTATTCTGACCTGGTGAATAACACTCCTTCAAATAGTTAGCCTAATTTTCCCTTCCAAGCTAATTGTAGCAGAGTTCACTGTACATTTCTCTTTTGTGCCGACGGTTGTCAGTGTTTTCTCTGTGCCTAACAGGGTTTGGTGGTTATCTGCTGTGTGTGGTGTTAGCGGGCAGAGAGCTGCAGTAGCAGGCCCGAGGCCTGGCTGTGACGATAGCTGGGCTAATGTGGGCTAATCTGATTTGAAGGTGACAGAGACACGAGAGAGGAATTACTTTGAGGCCACTGTCTGGATGAGTTGTGTGTGTGTGTGTGGGTGCCACTGTGTTTGACTTTGTGTGACTGCACGCTGGTGGGGTTGTGAGATTTCTGACTGCGTTGTTTACATAGAGAGTTTTTATTGTGACTGTGGGGAGAGAGACAGAGACAGAAAGAGACGAGTCGACAGTTGAATAGTTTTGCCTGAGTTTCCTCTGTGATTTAAAGTGGTTTGGGTCTGTGTGTATAACCCTTTAAACTATATAATGTGGTTAAATGTCACCACATATGGGGCTGTAGATTACAAAAATGGGAACTTTTTTGCTGGATACACAGTTTCAAAAGAATTGATAAGGACCAAATTTAAGGGAGCATCCTTGTTTTGTTAGAAACATCAAAAATGTCTCCAGGCCCTGAGGAAGATGGTTTTACCCCATCAATCTGGCCTGTCACTACAAACACATATAGTACCAGGGTAGCATCAGTTTTTACATTAAAAAATCTGCTGTCAGATTACAACAGACTTTATAAAGACATTTTAGAGTTAACAATTTTCACACAGTTCACAAATCACTGTCCTTTCACATTAATTCAGGGATGGAAAGCATGGGAAAGGACAAGAGGGACTGAGACTAGGGTATCAAAGGGGATCCTACAGTCGCACAGCTACAGAGGAAGTGGAGGGCCGGGGGATTTAATGGGGCCAGCAGGGATTGTCAATGGGTCAAATGAAAACAAGAAGAAATGCTTACTTTAATCAGGTTTAGTCTGTCATACTGAAAGAAAATTAAAGAGAAAACAAAATGTTAACCAAAGCAGTGAGCAACATGAACACAAAGAAATAGGAAATTAGAGAGAGGAAGCTGTGGTCTAATGAGATGGTACATGGACCATCAGAGGGTCTGGTGTTGCTACTGAATTCGACTCTCCATCCAGGTCGTATGTTACATGAGAAGCCTGATTGATTATTGCTGTGTCGCTGTCACTATTATCATTAAATGGCCTTCGCTGCAGAGAGGCATGGACCCCCTTTCACTGAATGCGCTCTTTTATTTGGATTGCATTAGGGCTAGGGTGATCAAGCTCACGTTGCTGGGACGACCTCACGCCATGTCTGTCATGTGACCACTGCTGACCACTGAGGCTCATGTGGGGGGGATTGCAAAAGGGTTGGAGCGGGGGTGGGGGTGGGATTGGACTGTGGCACAGAAATGAAAAGTGATGTAATCAATTGGGAAATGTGTGTGTATGTGTGTAACACAAATTGAGCCTCATGAGGCCGTTATTCACACCAGCCTCCCGTTTATTGTCTCCCTGTAGACTGCCTCATCTCTGCCTGTGTCTAAACAATTACAACACAAATGAGACCCTACACTGACTCCCTATATACTTGGCAATAAATTTAAAGAGCGAAAAAAAAAAAAAAAAAGTGGGATGAAGTCTGACAAGTAGCAAACTGGATGGATGAAGCGACACCATGAGTGATACGCTAAAACGTGACGCCAGCCTGCCGGACGTGTACAGGGAGGAGAGGCGGATTCCTGGGCTCGTGGTGTGAGAAAAGGAGCAGGAGGGATGCTCTCATGTGGCTGCAGAGGGATAAAAAACTCTTAAAAATCCTGCCAGCATCCCAGTCCAGAGCTCCAGGACTACATCATTATTCGGGGCTGTTACGCAGCATGACAGATATAAAGCTCTTATTACCAAAATGTAACGACAGGATAAGTTTGCAAAGACGGGGACGGGGTGCAGGGCAAAGCGGAAAAAAGGAAGAGGAATAGAGAGAGGAATGTAGACAATTATTTGTGGTGTTCTTTATAAAGAATTTGTGCCATTTTTATTCTTGGAATCGGACAAAATCTCAACAATAAGGCTCCATTTCCCAATTATATGTATGAATTTACTCTTTTTTATTTCTCTACATTTGAATTGAAGGAAAGCGCATATTCTAAACCTGACTATATCAATATACAGCACCAGCCTGAACACAAATATTTGCAAATATAATCAGGAATTTGCTACATTGCATATCACCAGGAAGGAAAAGAAAGGACAGGAGGAGAGAGGAGAAGGAGTGAGTGAGGTTGTGTGGGGTTGTCTGTTTTAAGACACGTCCATCTGCTATGATCGTGGGTGCAGATGGGGCTTGTAACGGTTGCAGTGTGCACCGGAACAAGCTGGGTTCGGGGTGAAGCATTGCAAACAGGGTCGGGACATCTCCACAGAGCAGCTCACAAGACAAGAGGTGGGGCAGAGGGAGGGTGGGCACAGAGATATTTAAAGAACAGAAAAAAGAGTAATGCTTACTTTGGAAAGTCGCTTGTGAGACTAGCATGCAATCAGGAGAAGAACAAAGAAAAATCAGATAGAAAAACGAAAAAAAGAAAAAAAAAAAGAAATCAACTGCAAGAAGAAACAGCTGAAAGTACCAACAGAAGAGCTGAACAGTCATTATCAGATGGCACACATTATCATATGGCATGTAGCAGCAGCAGCAGAGAGAGAAGGCGTGCACACTGTGTCGTGGAGACAAAAAAATGAGTAAAGAAAAAGAAACAAAACCAAGTGGTTTAAAACAGCAGAGATGGATGAGGACAGACTGAGGAGGTAAATGAAGACGGGAGTGACATGGCTTATTTCTAACATTTTGCGGAGCGTACAAAACATTAGAGCCACATGCTCCTTCTGTGAAACAACCTGAGAGAGTCAATCCATCACTGAGTTCAGTTGTGAAGGGGGGATGCAGATGAGGGAGAGGACAGCAAATACAACATCTGAACAACTGTTTTAAATCTTCCTCTATCAATATATGTTGTATTGTCTACAACAGCTTTGATGCAAGGGCTCTAGTCCAGTTCTTAACTTTTCTTTTGAGACTTTCTGCAACCTTTATTAAGACAAATACCTAAAACAAGACACATGTGAAAAGCAATAATCGCTGCCCTCTCAACTCAGCAACCAGGAAACACTTACAACACAGCAAACCTCTGTCGATGACAATAAGCTCTCCAACTTGTTAGTAAATGATAGGTTCACATTTTTCCAAGTCTTATTTAAAGCTCTTCTTATGTGCCCAATGTTCATTGTAGGGATGTTAATAATGAACAATTTAACCACTGACCGACAAGAATTTGACTGATTAATACTATAAGTTAAACCTGCCATGATAACAACATCTGCCGCCACATATTGTTTTTTATTTTTGGAGCTTGACCATTCATTAGGAACGCTATTGTGAGTGCTGAGTGTACTCTGGGGACAGACGGAGCAGCAGAACGGCAGGTGCACTAAAAGCGAAACTTAACCGTATATTTTGCTGGGTCTAAAAGTAAAACTCTACATTTCACTGCTGCTGAGAAAAAGAAAAAAAGAACTCGTAGAGTGTGCTGCCTGCGATGCGTTCATGGACCTGCCAAATCCTCAGAATTTAGAGAAGAGACATAGAATGATACAAGGACTGAACTGTTGATTTTGCCCCCCATCACTTACTTTGGAATCACATTAAGAAAGGATTGCTTGATGGCCAATACTAGAAGGAGGAACTAGAATTACTGCCTCGTGCTTGTAAGCCTCTGTGCACCACTCAGGTTGCACTTACAGTTTACATCCATGTCTGTGAAAACATGGATGCTTCACACATATCTCCCCCCAGTAGCACAGCAGATCTCTTCAAGCAGTACGGTCTCAGGGTGGGCACCCAGGATTAGTGTCACCAACTCAGTATCTGTATCTGACCATGTCTCCCCTTCTGTTCCTGAGGTATGACGTTGAATAATGGCCAAAAAACAATTTTTGCAGAACATTAGGATGTTCACAGTGAAGCTGACCTTTGACCTTTTGGACATAAAATATCATAACTTCATCATTATGTCCTATTAGACATTTGTGAGAACTTTTATAACAATAAGCACATGAATTCTTGAGTTATGGCCCAAAACCTGTTTTGTAAGATTGCAATGACCTTGACCATAGACCATTAAATCCTAATTAGATCATTCTTGAGTCCAAGTGGACGTTTGTGCAAAATTTAAAGAAATTCCCTCAAGGCATTCTTGAGATATCACGTTCACGAGGATGAGACGGACGGATATACGTACAGACAACCTGAAAACATAATGCCTCTGGCCACAGCTGTCTCTGGCAACGAGGCATAAAAATGATACCAAGTAAATCCTATTTCAATGTTCATATGGGCATCCAACTATGGTTTTAAGACAGACTTGGAAAAATGTGAACATATCCTTTAAACCCAAACACACCATACTTGTCAACTGAAGTAGTTTTTGAATGTCCAAACATGACCACAGAATCAGGGCAAAAGAATGCTAATGATGAAGTGTTGGAAATATCATACCTGTATTATCATGACCTGTCTATCCATAGTGTGTTGTGGAAATCTGTTTACAAGGTGTGGGGATATCCATCTAACAGGCACACAACAACATAACAAAACTGTCTCGACTGAGGCAACAAATACATGACTACTGTTTAAGGGGGATATCATATGTTTTTAGATAAGGTGCAGAAACTAACCTTTGGACAACTTGCGTGTCTTCATCAGAGTAATTTTGATATTACAGTACTTTGATAAAGACATGCTGTTTTATAGTTAATGCACCTTATTTAAGGCTTTAACTATCAGTGTGTGCACCCCAGCCCGCATCCTTGCAGAATCATTGTCCTGTCTGTTGAAGCACTGATTTGAGCTCAGAGTTGGCTGGTGCACAAGATTTCTTCCGCTGACTCTAGCCTCTCCTTTCGATAAGCATAATGAGTACCAATAGAGAATGTGAAGGCACCTCACCCTGTGTGGGACAGGGGTGCCATCTTGCGAGGCACATGCTCTTCTACCTGTTTGCAAAGTGTACTGTATGCACTCAGTCCAAAGACAACGCAGTTTCTAATGTCCAGGTGTGTCATCCATAGCCTCGTTTCCACCAAGCAGTTCCATCAGCTAAGTTCAGCTGAGTTCATTACACATTGGAACAGTTATTTTTGCATTCCCATTGTCAAAAGTTGTGGATGGCACTGACAGAACCATTCCATCCTATCCCGTTTTGTTGCCACCCCTCTGTTGACGTACCTAGTACACAGATATGATTCTAAAAGGTGGAGCTAGAAACACTGCGACCCGTTGATTGGCCAAAAGAGAATCCTCACTTTTGCTCGACAAACCCACAATTTTTAGATATCCCATTGATAGTGAAAGAGACTCTAAACACTCCAACCTGTTCTACCTTGTTCTTAAAAACATTGGAGTGCAACCCCGTCCCTTTGACGTTCCTCTGCATCCTTGGTGAAAAGGAAATACAGCAAAAGCAGTGACACGGCTACGAATATCCGGTAACATCCCTGCCTACATTACGCGGTACTGTCTGCAGTTTAAACACTAAACAGATCAGATCCTACAGGTCATGAACGGGTTCTAAGGATACTGTCCCCAAAGGGTATGACATCAGCTTCACATTCTCTATAGTGAGTAAATAAGCCAAGATCAACTGCATCAACAAAACACAACTTGTTTAAATCATAGTTTTAGGGAAAGGAAAGAGAGAGTAGAAGACTAGGGGAGTATGGGGATGTCAAAATAAAAGGCTGGAATGAAGAGGAGGGTGCAGTCTCTCCTGACAGGGGAGAGTGATAGTTGCAGCTCACTAGTTACATATCAGTATGTACAAGTCAATAACCAAACACAGCGGGTGCGTCACTACACTGGGCTAAGGGAGTACAGCTGGGTCGACTCTGACATGCTTCTGTAGTCACAGTTCATGAATGAATGCACATGTGACAGCTAGAGTTGCCACAGCATCCCGATGATCACTATAAAATCACTACAAGCACTCAGCTGCTAACCTCGTGTTTCATACGTCATATTTTCACTGCAAGTAAATGTGTAGGTTGTGTAACTGTGTCACATGCACTCTCATATCAATGATTTCCCTCTAAAGTGAATGCATGTTCTTTAACTTAAAGAAGAACAGGTGTGAGTTTGTGAGTCAAGAGTTAGCATTTGCATCATTTTGAGGTGCACTGCGCGATTACATCGGTCAGAGGAAGCTGTAAAAAGCATGCTGTGTTTTTATGAGAAAATATGTCCGCCTAGTCATCACATACAACAAGTATGTAAGTAATGAGTCATTACGTGTACTGTTGTTGCTTTTGGTCAGACAAGTGACGTAAGCCTTATGCTGACCGGTCTAACCTTAATCCATGTGTGTGGAATTGGCACCTTGTGTCCCACAGTGAAACCTTTCACAACAGCTATTCTGTGAAAATGTCAGAGCTGCTTTGTGTGTGTGCCTCTCTACCGGGAATGTCTCTTCACAGCGCCGACTCTTTCCAGTGGAAAGGACTCACTGTTGAGCATTCTTGAACTGAGAACTTTTAGTGCTGAGAGCTAGACACTAAATTTGTTTTAAACTCTGCCAGATTTTTAATCTACCACACTTAAAACTGCAACGCTATGCTTCTTTTCCATCATACAGGTACAGAGGAAAAATGTCAAATAACTTAAAAGCATCTTCTGGTTGCTCACCTTTGAGTTCTTTCCCCCGCTTCTTGCTGACTGCAAGGAGTACGTTCTCTGGACAACCTGCTCGGGCGTGGAGGGGGATTTGTCAGAGGAGTGGTCTGAACCCTTCTCCACCATGTTCTCACCCTCCTGGCTCTGTGGTGTGGGAGAGCGCGAGCGTTTACGCAGGACTGGTGAGCAGGCGGGTGTGCTCTTGTTTGAGTTACTGGCAGTGCTAAAAGAGAAGAGACAGAAAGTGGGATGAGAAAATCATATTCTCACAACAAAAAAGTCTTCAAAATGCACCATAAAAGTTTTACAAATACTCTGTGAATGTATCATTGTAAACACCATGCACGGTAGGGTCAATAATCAACAGATCAGTGTGGACAGCAGCACGACACAGACACTATTTCCTCAAGCTTACATCATTTGAGGCTTAGCAGGCTTGAAGCACCATGTGCTAACCTGGCTAATGACAGCTAAGCTAATACGGGAAACCAACAACAACAACAACAACAACAACAACAACAACAACAACAGCAGCAGCGGCAACAACAGCGAGGGGAAACAAAACTATTAAGACTCTATTACGCATGACCTGAGACTTTTCCCACTAATGCCACACTTCCAAAGCAACAAGGAAATCAATACGTCTGTTTTTAGAGCCCATTTGCAATTTGATTAAGAAGTGTAATCCAGCCTGACATTTATTGAGCTGTTTGTTTCCTGGAAAAAATATGAGGCCTTGCAATAATGAAGGATCCTTTTCCCTGAACTGTTTCCATGGCTGCGGAAAAGCCACTATGGAAGACATAACAGCATTAAATGATCAGAGATACAATGCCAGGTGGAGAGCATCATTTCAGCCTAGAACACACAATTTTCTTATCTCAAACTGAGGCACATGCTGACTTCCACATGGGGATTAGCTTTAATATCTCCACTCGCAGCTCTCCAGACCACTGAGAGGGCTGTTGTCTTGAGACAAGCAGTCCCTTTCCTTCCATCATACGCTGCTATCAGGTAGCCTCTGTGATCCAGCACTAGACACTCTCTTTACTGATACGCACACACACATGCACACACACACACACAACATGGCTCAGCAAGAAGCCTTCTCACAATGACAGAAGCGAACAAAAGGCCCTGTAAGTGATCTGAGTGGCAGTGTGCCCGCCAGGCACGGTTACTTGACATGGCGTTATGCAAGCCATTACGTCACTGCCAGCCAATGGCGGCTGTTAGTGGCCATGAATTACTGATCTACTGTTACATTAGGGACTTTAGTGCAGCTTAGAGCAGTGAATCATAAGGGGGGCAGCGTTGACAGCTTCTGTCTGACTGTCAGAGTCTGCTGTACCAGGAGCTGGTTGATTTTAAAAGGCAAGGGCAACAAAGAGCCTTCACATCTGTTTAATGCATGGGGATTGATAATGCACGCCTAGTGTATTATGGTACCTTTGACATCAATTTATATGATTACCAAATGCTCTGCTGTTCAGTGGATGATCACTTTGACTGTACTGTACATTGTGCACTCTGCTCTGCCTGCTGATAAGTCCCTACTAGCCTGAAATGTGTCTGTGAAAGATGTTAATTATAAGACATTTATTATTTGAAGTAGACATCTCCAGCTGCCACAGCTCAGTGGCAGGTAAATGTCATCCGGCTCCTGAGAGCAGAATTGCACTTTGAAATTGCAACCTCTAATTTCCTATTTTGCCTTTATTATTGTTTTCATCTACTGTAAAAAAATCTCTGGTTTATCAGTTGGTGTGTGGCAGTGGTTTTTCAATTTTTTTTTGCCCATGCCCATATTTATATCTGTGCATAATACTCTATTAAGTGTGTTATCACTCTTATCATGACATAAATATTTGTTTTTATTTACTAATATCAAACAACTATTGACAACCAACTATTACTCATGAAATATTTATTGACAAAATGATTCAAGAATTCATTTTAAACTTTTTAAAATCATATCAAAGCACCAATAACAATGATCAATTCAAATGGGAAATAAAGAAAGATAATGTGATGTGTCACAGAGTTACAGTTCCCTCATGTGAACGGCGACAAATAGGTTCCCTGTGAAGGTTTTTTAAATCAAATTAAATTACATTTTTTAGGTAGAGTTTGCCTCTATATTAGGAAATGGGTGTGCACAACATAGTGAATAAAAAAAAAAAAAAAAAAAAAAAAAAAAAAATTCATAACTATTTGCATAGGCCCAGTTGAATATTGCATTAACAATGTGTGGTTATCACAAAATCCCATGGCACACCTGGATTTGCATCATGGCACATCAGTGCGCTGTGGTACACCATTTGAGAACCAGTGGTGTATGCCATCTATCCATCGGGATGTGAAGAGTACAAATGGCCAATATGATGATAGAAGGCAGAGTACATTGGAATTCAGCATGCATCATGCGGTGTTAGATAGACAGACCAACGACACAAAGAGAAGTACATCATACTAAATCAGGTTAAAAACAATATTGTATTTTGACTGCAGTGCAACTCACATTACAAAGAGTACTAGATTTTACTACTGCTTTAACACAGTTAGTGAGGGCAGTAGGGGTGGTGTAGTTTGAGGGAAACTTTAAATATGACCGTACTGATGTGGGACAAAAGGTGCTGTAAGAGATGTGTCGGTAACAACCGAGCAGAACAAGGAAACTTTGTTGTGAAGGACCGCTGGTATTTGGCTCTATTTAGTTGTCCATCTACCCTGACCATGCCGAAATCAGAGAATGACCTGCACTGTTTCAGTTGCTTTCACTTTCATTATACACACAGTACAAGGCTTTAATGTGAATGAATTCTTTAGTGGTCAGATTCTGGCCGCTGTCTCTACATGTCAGGTACTGGTGGGTGGAAGCCCTCTGCATCCGTTTGTCTCATATCACTGAACCATTTCTTGTCTTGGCCACAGTTCTCCTTGGTCAGAGCAACACATTAATAAAATGTGTTAACTTCTCCCAGGATAATTTCATCATCGTATGCTGTGGGAGGCTTATTAGCATGCTGTATGTTTGCTTGTGGCTGTTTTGTCTTGGTCAAGGTCGTCAGTCTACTCTTGGGAGCAGCTTTTCGGGCTGTTCTTGCATATCTGAAACAAATGAGATATAAAAAGTACACACTGTGGGGACATGCTGTGTACTTTAAAGTACATTTATCATACATTTAACAAGCTCATTATGGGTCCTTATGAGACGATATGTGTCTTTTAATCCAGCATAGACGTCCTGTGATTCAACAAAGAAGTTTAGGTACAGTTACCTCAGACAGTTGAGGTAGCATGTCAGTTAATATGCCCAGATGGTGTTAAGAAAAACACAGTGTCACCACTATGGAGACCCACAGATCATCTAGCTTTGCCCCTCTAGAAACTACTGGCCATCATACCTTGTGGGAAGCAAGCACTCTTCTCAGACAGACAACAGAGGGAGTCAGCATCATTAAGGACTGGGATGTTAATTACATGAAAAAAGGAAAAAAAATAACTGTATTAATTAAAGCAACACTCTTTCCAAAGCTTATACGACTACTTAAAGCTACATTTAGGCCACACACTCATAGTAGTACATCAATCTTTGACGTCCAAAAAAGAGTACCATAATATACATTTGGGGTCAAGCAACAGGTTTTGCACTCAAGGGTACATCTGTAGTCCTCTGTGTTTTGAAAGTGTAACTAAAAAGGAATGTAAAGATGTGATTAAACTGGTCATGGATCAAACCATCACCTATTAACTCAACTATCCTGCACAAGTCAAAGAGTAAAAGCAGCTGGCTCTACCCGTGAACTTGATTGGTAGAGGTGAAAAGACATGGTGTGGTGATTAGACTCAAAGGTGATCGTCAAGAACTTTCTACACGATACTGACTATTGGCTTCTTCCAACAGTAAAGACACAACCTGACAAGAGTCTCAACATCTAAGTGTCTCCAACAGAGATTTCACTTGAACTTAGGACAGCTGGCTCTCATGGAAAATGCTTAAGGTCTTCCATAAGCTCCCATCTATCATAAAGGCATTTGAACAGGTCACCCTACAGTGACGTAGCATCATAGCAAATATGTATTTCCGAGTTAAAATAAAGGTTGAATGAATGAATAGGTGCAAGACCGGCTAGGGTTGAGGTTTAACCCCAGACTAGTTCACAAATGTGAATCAGTCTGGAATCTCTCGGTTCATTTTTGATTTCCAGCGGCACTATCAACGGGCACAGACCAAAATGCCTCTGGACGCAAATCGATGGACTTAGCAACCAATAAGAGCAACGTGTGCAATGTGTGAAGTAGCGCTGAGCCACATACACAAGTTGGGGTTGTGCTTGATCCGTTTTCAAGCAGGAAATGAAATGGCATTCTGGTCACAGACTTTCTCAAATGACACAAACAGTACACTGAAATATGTCTCTGAAAGCCTTTGAGGCAGGACATAGGCAATGCAGTGACAGAATCTTGATCCTTATTTGATCGATGTTGCCTATAGTTTGATCCGAGTATTGTGAGTCTTGTACATTGCACTGTCCAGAGCAGAGATCGGTGACACTGCTCTGACAATCATCATATTAAACCAGATCCATATTAGATAAACAGTTGTGATTGGTGTAGTGGACGTTTCTGTAACAAAAGGCTCACAGTCAACGAGTGTCTTTCTGATGTTTGTTATCACTCTTTCAAGCAGACAAAGTCAATCCTCAACAGAGTCTCAGGCTGAATGAGCAACAGTCGTTTCTCTACAGTTCTGTAATGCTGATCTTTCTATCTTTCTTTGGCCCACTGGGGTCATTTCTTATCACTGTCCTCCAAATTGTTGATAGCAGTCCAGGCAGCTGACACTCACGGGGGTAGTTCCTCAACAAGTGCATGCCGCTGTCCAGCACTACTGACAACATGCAAATATTCTGTCCATTCTGTCCAAAATACAGCAATTTAAGAAACAAACACCAGGTCACTTAGGCACAGAATATTAGCGTACACGATAAAGACTCACAGTAACACATGATTAAAGACAGAGATCAATATTTTAAAACTATGTAAGAAAGATATTCATTACGATCAGCCTTCCCAGATCTATCTGGGTGGAAATCTGTTTGCATGGGAGGGGGACCAGATGCATCTGCCAGTGCAAATGAAACATGAGCTTGCAGGTTTGTCTGGTTCCCAGGCTAAGTGGTTTGGCCTCTAAGGCAACATGGGTTGGGAGTAAACAAA